CATTTAAAAGAGTCGATCATCAGATATTGTCCAAGATTAACCTTCAGGGTGGATATAGCTCGCTAGCAGCCTCGCACCGAGGACTATCCACGTCATCATTTACCCAGAATGCTTTGTGTGTAAATAAAATGGCTCCATCCTTGATAAACTATATTTTTAAAAATGTACAAAACTAAACATCCTACAGTATTTTTACAGTTTTTATTTTACAGTTAAAATAAATGTTTATCAAATAAAGTTTAATGTTACAACTAATCAGGGATCCCTTTAAAAAAAGTCCTGAGGATTATGGAACAAAAAAGTCAAGTGGTAGAACCAAAAACATGTCACCGGCCTGCAGCCAGAGGATCCGATTGGCTGTCTGTCAAGACACGGAAAAATCCTCGGCCCAAATTAAGCTTGTCACTGGTGCTAACTGCATTCCCATAACCATTATGGTACGTTCACACCGAACGCGTTTTGAGTTTACATGCAAAGTACATGGTGGACGCGCCTCTAGGGGTCTTGTGGAGCATCAGGTTCGTTTTGCGCGACGTGGAAGGTGCGGCAGAGCATTTTCCATGCATGTGGTGCGTTGAAAGCAGCCGACGCCCGAGTTAAAAAATTGGAACTTTTGCCTCTCAACGCGTCTTGACAACCAATCAGAGACTCATTTTTCCACGTGACAGTTTCCTGAATGTTGCCCACTGACCTGGAACAGATGGACAGGAGATCTTTAGCTGAAATCGACCGTCTGTAGTTGATGTTGTGGCTGAAGATACCAGCACCGATGTGGGTCAGCAGCTCGTACTGGGCTCGGGACAAAAAATAGTTTGTCAGCTCGCATTTCCTGGAGTGGCAAAACTAACTGAGCTGCCTCTAAATCATCTGGTGAATTAATTATCTGCTGGGCGCAACCTTTGCTTGCTCTTTAGTAAATAAATCAAAGCCATTTGCTTTATTTTATCTTTATTTCATCCACCGAACACAGACCGGTAAAAAACCAAGACGCTCCTCCCTCTTCAGACGTGCGTCTGGTCTATGTCCCGGTCTGAACATCGTGCGTCCAGCTGGAGGCGCTGTGCGCTTTTTTGCTGCTCAAAACGCGTTTGGTGTGAACGTAGCATTGGACAGCATCTGAAGGGTTTTAAGAACAAAAAACATCTTCAAAGGCCTCGTCTCCTTCAGAGGCACAAAACTGCCCGTTCGAAGTTTACACAAGAGCACCGAACATGGGACAYTGAAAGGTGGAAGAAAGTTTTATCCGGGTCCGGGTAGCTTCCAGTGTTACTGACAATGCAGGGGATCCCACCTGAGATGTTTTCTACACGGTGCAGTGGAGAGGGTGACGTCATGGTCTGGGACCTGAGTTAAGTTGCCCCCATCCCACCTAAATCTAACAAAATTGGTTTCAAACGTTTGTGTTAAGCTTGTGATGATTTGTGCAGCAAAAAATGTTGTTTGTGCCGCTATAGTTTTAAAGATATTAATAAAAGTTTCCAGAGGTCCTCAGAGGTCAACCAGCCCCCCAACRTTATCCAAATCAAACAAAACTGGTGGAAAACATTTGTGCTAGTTTGTGCTGCAGTATTTTTTGTTTTTGCTGCTATTGTTTTTAAGAGCCTAGCCTCCTGGCACCAAGAACACGGAAACAAAATTTTGAGGTGATTAACGAGAATGGCTCGGCTATTCCCTACTGAGTCCTTTGTTTAATCTTATTTATATTTGAAGGTTTTTTTGGGGATATAGTTTTAAACTTTTGATGAACAGCGTATTTCTGTTTAACACTCAGATGTATTGTTTTCTTCTTACAGTTTGAAACTCTACTTGGAACCTTCTTATGATCCAACAGTACAAAATGTGTATTCTTGCCATCCTTCAACTGGTTGGAAAATTTTGATCAGGAGTATAAATCCTATAGTTAGGGTTGGTTTCCTGAGTTATTAGCTACAGGCTCACTCACCACATTTTTTCACTTTGCTGCCGTCTTTCCTCTCTACATGTTTTTCTATATTTTATCATTTTCAAACCATGTATTTATAAATTTGTGAATACTWTTTGCATTCTGCCTTTTTGTGCAATTTTTTCCTACATTGTTGCTGCGACAGAATAATTTGTCCCATTTCTACTGATAAGTTGTAAGTTGTCAGGAGCGTCACACCTCTCCAGAGCTTTGGTAACTGCGTCTTCATTTTTAAACAACACATAGGCGTTTATGCTTTGTTTCTGGGGATGAATTTTGCGTCTGTGAAAAGAAAAGACATTTGTTAGATAATTACAAAACTCAACTTTTTTATTTTAAGTCATTTCAAACCCCCAAAACATAAAAATATCAAATCAACAGAAACTATTAAGGGAGTTCCACAGTATCAACCAAATCTTGAACGATGATGGTTWGAGATCCCTTACAGCAGTGGGTCTCTATTTTCTGTCATGCCCCCCCGGGAACTTAAATGTGTTCACACAACCTGTAAATTGAAATATTTTTAAGAACCTGGCAACATTTAATTATTTTATCTGTACAAATAGGCCTGTCAAGATAACAAATTTTACTGGAGTGTTAGAAATGTTCGTGTTCAAAGGCTGAAGTCACTAGAAAACCACCAATGTTAAATAATATATTGTTAGACGAAATAAAACCATACAAAACCAGAATTCTGGAGTGAGGGTTTATTGCCATTCGGATCTGACAGGAAACCACGCACTGCCGGCCAACCAGGAAGTTGATCCATTTATACAGAGGGTTCAATGCCTGCGTTCGCCCCCTACTGACCTACGGCTGAATCACCGGCATTCATACACAATTCTCCCCTAATGTTTTCATAACGGATAAATATGTGTTGTTATAGATATTTCGGACATGTAAATAATCTATATCAATCAACACATTATAGATTAACCATTATAAAAAGCAAAACCTAAAAATATAGTGTTGTGCTTTTAACATCAGTACTAATCTGTAATAACTAAATTTCTTCAGGAGGATACATTGTCTCGGAAATTATTGCGATAAACGATAGTATTGTTGCAGACCAGTTTAAACTAATTTAATTATATAACAACCCCTGTTTACAGAAGTTTACATTAAAATCTACATAATGTAAAAAGAAAAAAAACAACTGTCGGCAATCCCAAGGCGTCACCAGCTGTATGAAGGCATCAGAAAACTGAAGACGCTTCTCTGGCTAAATGTCTGTTCACAGGCTCTCATGCTACAGAGGTTAGAGAGCATCACCTGACAAATACCTGATGCCAGGGTTCACTCCTCTCTATGCTAAGAAGTACAAAAGAGGGAGACATGAAGAAAACAAAAAGCAGGCAAATGAAAATGATTGTTTTGATTTTATTTCATCTTCCTCAGTTTAATTTATCATACGATGAATTGATTTATTGTTTACTCTGATAGGCCTTTGTACAAACCCTTATGAGTTTCTAGCACCTGCATTCTGTAGATTATCACCCGATAATACCAGGGAAACACAAGTATTATCATCTTTTGAAATTTCTTTATTTTGATTAATTAAATCATTAATTTAAAGTGTATTTTTAGGGCTGTGTATTGGCAAGAATTTGGTGATACGATACATATCATGACAGAGGGGTCACAATACGATTTATCCC